CTTTTAAGTCCCTCGAGTTTGGGAATGTTGGCTATTAGGCCCAAAACAATATTTTCTCACACAAAAACCCTTACTTAAATGCTAAAATAGCACAAAATTTTGGGGTATTACATCCACCCCTCCTAAAAAGGAGTTTTGTCCCCAAAACTCAAATTGAGGACCATATCAAGTGGTGAAAGGCTTCACACAATCCGAGACAAAACAAATGCCTCACCACTTTCTAGGAACAGAACACGGCCTGTTACGCTTCCGCTGCGCCACTCTGATATCAAATCACAACTAATCACAAAAGCAGAACACTAACTACTTAACAAGATTTGCCATCAAATAAGCTACTGGAGGCTGGGGTAATACGGAAAGCACAAGGAATAAAATAAATCCTGCCAAAGCCACAAAAGAACAATTGTGGGGTTACGCTTCGAACCCATCACAAGACAAGTTGACAAAGAATGGCATGGATTTAAAGACGAGTACAAAAAAATTTGAACTCTATCAAAGACGGATGAGCATCCAATGGATATATGGATCATGAATAAATGAACAAGTGCATGGATGCCTTATAAATTCTGCCACAAAAGGTCAACCAATGAGTAAGGTCATGTTTAACAAAGCAACAAGAATCAAGAAACAGATTTTAGTAATTAACAATAGTTAAAAGCTAGACCCATCAAAAGACATGTAAGAATCTCAAGAACTGCAACAGAATAAAATCAATGGAAAATAGGAATGCTTGGAAGAATACCGGAACATAAGAGTGCAAGGTAGAATGCCTCAAAAAATTCAACAACAAAACGGCATTCACCAAGAATCAAGATCAAATTTAACCAAGTAGTCAAAATTGAGAAACAAAAGTTAACCATGAAACAAGCAATAGAATTCAAGGATTAAGCCCACAAAAGAGATTTCAATAATGACAATCAGAACACGGATTCAAGAGCAGATATAATCAGAATGTCAAGATCTAGCACCTCAAGTACTAGAATTAATTAATAGAACAAAGCAATGGCTGGAATCAAGATGCTTAGAAGATTACTGTCTTCTAATTAAAAGGGCAAACAAAAATCCAAGCAGCCAGATCAAAGAACCATTTCACTTGGAACAAAACTCTAAGGTATCAAGTATTTCGAGGACTACCCCTTTACCTCGTAGCTCATGGAGGCTACAATCTGCTTAGCCTAGACATCCTAGAGCCAAGTCAAAGCTAAGGCATCAAGGATACATAATTTAACACTTGCAAGAGACAAGAATTTAGAATACCTCATATAGGTATCTTCTGATAATCGTCACCCCTCCTAAAGAGGTGTCCATATGAACAAAATCCAAGAATCAAGAAGATCAACAAGTATACTGAAACAAGAACTAACAGAATATGCGGAATTGAGCAAGAGCAGTATATTGAATTTGAGCAAGAGCAAGAGTCAAGAGTCAAGACAAGAATGGTTTTCAAGGACAATTCAAAACAAATTCCAAGAATAGTGCAATAATTAATTTCAGACAAGTATCAAGATAATGAGGATTCCAATAATCATTATCCATTTCCGGATTTCAATTTCAAGAACAAGTACAAAGCAATATCAAGAAAGACTCAAGACGGATTTCAAGAGTTTCAAGCAATTTTCAGATATCAAGAATATAGAGATTGGCAACAATAGAGAGTTTAACTTTATGATAGCTTGCCAATCTTCATAAAAAGACAACAATTTCAATTGAATAATCACTGCTCTTGATTAACCAATACAGAAAAATGAGCCACATGAAAAGACCACGAAGCTCCAAATGGAAAAAGTGAAATTTCACTATAGCACTTTCAGAAGATAAGGAGCAACGGAATTACCAAGTAATCCAGCTCCTAAAACGCATCAAAAAAACACACAACATTGGCTAAAATAGCCTTGAATCTCTTACAAGGTAGAGGGTTGCCCATCTTTCACTAGTCATGTCACAAACAGAGCAAATTCTCCACCAGCTATGTGGTAGAGACCAACAAGATCAGTAACAAAAATCTTTGCAACTCCCCAGATTTTCCAATGGTGGCAAAAGAGCACACAAAATTCTATTCAAATAACAAGTCTAAACAAGTGCAGACTATCAGAAAATGACCAAGTTTCAAAACAAGGTCTTCAGGACATAACAGCCAAGATTACTTTCACAACTTCACACAGAGTATGAAGGCAAGAAACAAGAACAATCAGATCACCATCTCATCGAAATGGATGAGAAAATTCAGGCAACATGAATCAGAATCGTCCCTTATATAACCCCATCACTCGTCTCACCACGATTCTACAATCCACTGGCTAGCCAAGTCCAAAACAAATCCTAGGTATTCAATTAAACCTAGGTATTCAATTAAATCTAAACTCTGATACCACTCAATCTGCTCTAATGCCACTCAATCTGGAGGTGCTTAATTTAATCCTAAGCTCTTAATTTCAACCTAAGCTCTTAATTCCAACCAAGCTCTGATACGATACCACTTAATCTCCAGATATCTAATTTAACCTAAGCTCTGATACCACTAAATCTCCAGATATCTAATTTAACCTAAGCTCTGATACCACTAAATCTGTATCACAAAATCTTAATTTAACCTAAGCTCTGATACCACTAAATCTGTCACGCCCCAAAACTCCATTTCGAGACGCGACAGACGCCGTGCACTCATGAGACGGGTCCCACAAGTGCACAAGGCTCGAAACTTATCATATCACACTCTGATACCATCAAAATCTGAAGATCAAATTATAAAATCTCTCTGATATCATAAAATCTCCAAATACAAGATCATGATTTGTTTCTAAAGCTATGCTCAATTTACAAGTGGCTAGCCTTCTAACTCGTCACTTCCCGTAGTTTCCCGTCCTCGGTTTCACTTCCTGAAATGGTGGACAAGGAAAAACTATGAGATAAACTCAGTAAGTAAATATGGAGTGCCCCTTATCAAACTTAAAGCATGCCAACAAGTACAATCACGAAAACAGATACAGT